CTTAACCAAAACTAATAATCCTTCAGGTACGTTTGGTGAAGCGGTCTTCCATTTATGCCGAGCTTGCAATTTTTGAATTCTTTCCAGAATGAATGCTTTAGGCGCGATACCAATTCCCAGCGCTTGACCAATGTTCTTCCTTGATGATCAGTATTGATGTCAGGAGGCGTTGTTAATGGTTCACCAATCAAGAAGTGTCCTGGGGTGAGCTCTGTTGTATCAGTGGGATCATTTGACATTGGAGTGATGGGGTCGAGAATTGAGAATTGCTTCAATTTCGATTATCACTGTGTTTAGTTCTTCAAATGTCAATGAGGCTGTATTGGTGGTTGTTATCAACAGCTTTTTTGCTGATTTTACCGCCGCTTCCCAGAGGCCGCCAAACGATGGAGCCCTGGGAGGAATGAATTTAAAATCCACTTGCTTTTTGTTGCAATGATTCGTGATCAGAGCACTTGCCTTTGAGCTGAATATAGAGTGTTCTAATTCTTTAAGCTGATTGTTTGCACCCACAAAGTTCGTTCAATTGTCGCAATGCATAGTTTGGCACTTCCCACGTCTGCCTAAGAATCGACGCAGGGCGGCCAAGAATGCATCTGTGGTCAGGTCGCTTACCAGCTCCAGGTGTACTGCCTTTGTGGAAAAGCAGCAGAACACGACGATGTACGCATTATCTGGTCTTTTGCCTCGGATCTTATGGTGGATCGAGATTTTACCATCGTAGATATGCCGGGGAATTAGCTTTTTTTTCAATGTTCGTCATCCCAATCCAGTTTGAGCTCCCAAAGATGTTGCATGAAGATTTTTGCCTTTACTACCACCGGTGCAAAGAGTCCTAGTGGTTCAAAGATTTGGGCCAGTTCGGAACATACCACCCGTTTGGTGATGCGTGTAGCCTGGCTTTTCTGTGTTCGTCCACACAATGTATCCTTCTTCGGCATCCAGATGAGACCCAGAGTTTTCACGCTGTAGTGATCTAGTGTCTCTCCTAATTTTACATCGGTTACAATATCCTCTTTGGGGATTCCTTGGAGAAGTTGCTCATTGTTGGAGCACCACTTGCGCAATTTGAATCCGGACGGTAGCAATATCTTATTTAGTTCTTGTCGAACATGAATTGCCTCTGGAATTGTGTTTGCTCCAGTTGTTGATCCTACTGGTAGTCTGTCTTTGTATGTATTGCCAAATGATCCAGACATTTCGTTGCTAGGAACGGAGCAGCTGTTGTCCCATATGCTACTGTTTTAAGGCGATAGTACCTGATCTCTTCGGATGGATTGTTTCTCCAGACTATCATCTGATGGAATTGATCCTCCGGATTCATACACACTTGCCGGTACATCTTTTGTCCGCTGTGAATACGTACTTATGAATTCGAAATCGTAGCAGAATGGACATAAGTTCGCTCTGAACGGTGGGTCCAGCCTGTAGAATGTCGTTCAAAGATTTCCCGCTTGATGATTTGCATGAGGCATCGAATACTACCCGAAGCTTTGTAGTGGTGCTCTCTGGTTTGAGTACACAATGATGTGGAATGAAGTAGTGCCTTTTGGGAACTTTTGATGCTGGCACAATCTTCATATGTCCGGAGAGGGTCTCCAGCGGTTGTCTTGACAGTGCGTCCGCGACTACGTTCTGGTTGCCGGCCCGATAATGCACGTCGTATTGGTATTGCTGTAGTTCGAGCGCCCATCTTGCTACTCTACCGTAAGGGCTCTCGAGGGTATTCAGCCACTTTAGTGCGAGATGATCGGTTATGACGTCGAATCGGTAGCCTCCGAGATAGCATCGCAGTTTTCGGATCGCCCAGATGACGGCGAGGCATTCCTTGTCGGTGGCCGAATAGTTTTCTTCTGCCTTGTTGAGGCGTCGACTGACGTATGCGATGACCCGCTCTTTCCCTTTCGATCTCTTGGGTGAGGACCGCGCCTACTCCAAGGTTGCTTGCGTCCGTCTGCAGGGAAAATTTGACGTTAAAGTCTGGGCAGGCGAGTACCGGTGCGGTGGTGAGTAGTGTTTTCAGCTCGTCGAAGGCGTCTTGTTGTTCTTGGCCCCATGTCCGTGCTTTCCCTTTCTTCAGCAGCAGTGACATTGGTTGGACTACGGTGGCAAAGTTTGGGACAAATCTGCGGTACCACCCGGCCATGCCTACGCATTGTCGTAGCTCCTGCGATTTTGTCGGGGTCCGTGTGGATACCTTCTTCGCTGATCATATGGCCCAGGTATTTTATCCGGCGTTGGAAGAAGGCACACTTGTCCGTGTTGACCCGTAGGTTTGCCTTCCGCTGTCGTGCGAAAACTTCTTTCACGTTGTTCTGGTGTTCCTGGAAGCTTTTCCCGATGATGACGATGTCGTCGAGATATGCGCCGATAACGGCGTTGAGGGTCCGTTGAAACGTGGCTCCCGCGGAGTGTAAACCGAAAGGCATTACTTTCCATTGGTATAATCCACGGCCGGGTATCGTGAATGCCGTGGCTTCCCGGCTGTCCCGGGCCATTGGTATCTGCCAATACCCGTTTTTCAGGTCTAGGATCGTGATGAAGTGGGCATTTCGGAGTCGCTCTAGTATGTAGTTGATCCTGGGTAGCGGGTACGCGTCCGGGATGGAACGCTCGTTTAGCTGCCGATAATCTACACACATGCGCCATCTCTCGTCCTTTTTGCGGACCAGGACGATTGACGCGCTGTGAGGCTCCGGGATGGTTCGATTAGGTCCTCAGCTATCAGTTGGTCGACCTGTTCAGTCGATGATCCGCCGCATGGCTGGATTTTTCGGGTAGTTCCGCTGTTTTATGGGTCGGTTGTCTCTCATGACGATGATGTGTTCTGTCAGATCCGTCGTCCCTCGGAGGCCTCGGAGTGTTGGCAGTTCCTCGTCTAGAAATTTCCGTATTTTCGGCGCGATGTCGGGAGGCCATGGGTAGGAGATTCGTTCCGAATCGTCCTCGGGTGGTGTTAATGTGTGTGTGTGTGTGTGTAGGAAGCTGGGTTGCATACGGTACATAAACCGTCTACAGTTTGGTCGTCGCAACTAGAACTTGAACCAGTTGGACTGCGGAGTGGGTATCCTAGGATACCTGAAGACACAGCGACAGCCTCTGATGATTGCGATGGAAGATGAGTGACAGGCAGCTATGGTACTGTTTCTGATACTGATTTTTATTGAACAAATGCATCTCCTTATATAGCTAGCAGTGGTATTCTTATTCTATGGGAAGGAACGCGCAGGCTCCTTGTGAGTGTATTTTTAGATTGGGTACACTTACTCTGTGCGGGGGTTATATTTTAGTGCATTTACTTAGGTACTTGGCAGCAATAAAGTAAATAGTTTATTACTTGATCCCTTTTGGGGGGTTCGAGTTTACAAGTGCTATTGTCTATTCTTAGTTGCTAATGTATTTTTCGTGTCGTCATATTCATTCACATGAAGTGAAATGGACAATTTTATTTATGAGTATTTGTGTATGAGATTGAACTGTATATTCCTAATATTCATTAAATACATGTCTGCGGCTGAACATTCTCCCGGCCGTGGAACTGGTGTTCAACCATCGCTCAAGTCGACGGCAAACCGGCGTGAAAGGGGTATAGGGGTGATGACATGGCTGGATCGGGATTTTATGGCCTTGGTTTCCATAGTTGATACTTCTCCCGGAAAATAAAGGCAATGATCAATAAAATTGCTAGGGTTGCGTAAGCAGCGAGTTGATGGTGCTGCACGGTGGTAAGATGGTGTGGCAGCTCGTGATGATTGATGGTTGATAGTTGCTGGCGTAGATCATCAAGTTCTTGAAGAAAGTCTGATGTCTGGTTCTTCACTTGCCACATTGGTGGCGAGGGTGATGTCTCCGGTGGGCTCACGTCACCAAACCAAGTCGATTTTACTTCGCTGATTGTGGTGCTGAAGGTGCTGATGCTTACTTCAGTATTGCGAGCAGTGCAACCAGGGGACATGGAGAGTAGACCAGTTCCTTCCAGTGTTATGGTTGACGGAACTCCGTTGCATACTGCTTGAAGTTTAGTTGTAGAATGCGTTGCGAAGATCCATTTATTTGGATGCTGAGTTTTTAGCCACACCGTGTCAGCCTTTTTGTGTGTTACCTGACACAGTGTTTCTGTTTTATTGTTAAACAGTTGAAACTCACAGCAATTGTCCACATTGAAGATCCTCTGATGGTCAACGCAGATGAACTCCTCGTTGTGTACTTTAAGACAACGTCGGAATTCCTCTTGGGTAGTGCCCATGAACTGGACTCGGTGGATGTTCACCGTTATTATGGTGGTTCTGAGGTCAAATAGACTCCAGCTTGTTGAATCCCAAAACGGAATTGGGATGATGCTGAAAACTTCGAGCTGAGCTGTTGAAACCAGCGGTAGCGTCAGCTTGAAGATGACGTGTTTTGCAGTCAGGGTTCCTTCGGCACGCATGATTCTGTATAGTTGAATCACCTCCTTCGTTGTGACCGGCAGCATTTGATCTTGTGGCAAATGGTCTATTAGTTGCTCGGGAGAAAATGTTGAACTAACAAAATAAATGATACGAAATAGGCTAATAGACGCGAACACGAACACACTGCAACGCATGTTGGTCAAAACGCCCTGATCGTTCACCCAGCTGCTGTAAATAGCAGCCATTTGCTGCTGCTGACACAACAAGAAGAAGCAGAAGGGAGGCAGGCAGCAACAACAACGAAAACAACAGCATTTCGACAAAATTGTTGCGTATTGTCTTATCTCATTTCTTTTGGCCCAGCAGAAGAGACGTACCATTTTTGTGCAATCTGAGTGAACAAATCATATGTATAACTTATGTCTGATAAAAGTGCAAAGGAATCCTGTATCAGTCGTAGTGCGAGCTGCAGCAGCAGGCGCAAAAGAAGAAAGTGAATTCGCGCAGCAGGGAGGAGTCGTCACCGAAAGCAAGAAACAAAAATCTATTGCCCATTGCCCCTAGGCGCGCGCAACGTGTTCCGCTTGCGATTAAACAAAAAACGTGAAGTCAAATAGCAGCTGTGTTAAACAATGTCCCATGGCGAGGATGTGCTAGATAATTGGGAAGAGCTTGACGAGGCGGCGCTCTCTATGACTTTGCAAACCAAGCTGCAAACAAGCGAGGAAAAGCCCGTAATGAAAATGAAACTACTTCAGCGCCCGCAGAGCCTCCAGGACAGCAGCAGTGGCAGCCCGAGCAGTGCCCCCAGGCAAATCACTATTGCCAAGAAGCCCACGCCGCTCGAGGCGGCCCAGTCAGATGGCGAACCAGTCTTGATGGTGCTTCATAAGTCGACAAACGACTATGATCCGGCTACCTATGCCACGCCCACCATCAATCAGACCGTAAAAATCCTGCGGCGTCCCGCCCAGGCCGAGGAGCGACGTGATACGAATGGCATGAAACCCAAGCAGCCCATCAAGACGCTAAAGCAGCGCGAGCAGGAGTATGCAGAGGCCAGATTGCGTATTCTGGGAGCGGCCAAGAATCCAGAGGATGATAAGCCACCAACACCACCAATCCCAGTTTCACCACAACAGGAGCTTATTCTCCGATGATGAATACCGATTAGGACATCAGATATGTCGGACTGCATTCGTTGGAGAGTTGTTGTGAGCAGGGTTAATTGTGCTATTAGTCCTTACTACGCTTCAGTCAGATGATCGCTGTGATATGATCCTCTTTCTCGGTTGATAATAGCCATATGCTGTTCCAAAATTTTTAGGGGATTATCAGTTGTTACTTTGTCTTTTCTGACTACGTTTATTGTCGCGTCGACAATTGATGTTTGGTTTTGGAGCAGTAGAAAGTCTTCATTGGTTTACACTTTCTCAATTACTTGAGTCATCTCTTCTGCGTATTTTGCTCCGTATTTTTAATTCAGGGCACATGTATCGTAACTCTGAAATTCCAGCAGACATTAGTTGCATGTCCTTCCAATATGGGTCCAAGTCATAGTATACGATCATGGTCCACTCAGATGTTCGGGCGCTTGTATACGCCAGATGCTGTCTTAACGTCAACCACTCGTACGTGGTTGTCCTGTCCAGGATATGTCTTAATGATGCGACCCATTGGCCACTTCATTACAGGAAGGTTGTCTTCCTTAACCAAAACTAATAATCCTTCAGGTACGTTTGGTGAAGCGGTCTTCCATTTATGCCGAGCTTGCAATTCTTGGAGGTATTCTGTAGACCATTGTTTCCAGAATGAATGCTTTAGGCGCGATACCAATTCCCAGCGCTTGTCCAATGTTCTTCCTTGATGATCAGTATTGACGTCAGGAGGCGTTGTTAATAGTTCACCAATCAAGAAGTGTCCTGGGGTGAGCTCTGTTGTATCAGTGGGATCATTTGACATTGGTCGAGAATTGAGAATTGCTTCAATTTCGATTATCACTGTGTTTAGTCCTTCAAATGTCAATGAGGCTGTGTTGGTGGTTGTTATCAACAGCTTTTTTGCTGATTTTACCGCCGCTTCCCAGAGGCCGCAAAACGATGGAGTCCTGGGAGGAATGAATTTAAAATCCACTTGCTTTTTGTTGCAATGATTCGTGATCAGAGCACTTGCCTTTGAGCTGAATATAGAGTGTTCTAATTCTTTAAGCTGATTGTTTGCACCCACAAAGTTCGTTCAATTGTCGCAATGCATAGTTTGGCACTTCCCACGTCTGCCTAAGAATCGACGCAGGGCGGCCAAGAATGCATCTGTGGTCAGGTCGCTTACCAGCTCCAGGTGTACTGCCTTTGTGGAAAAGCAGCAGAACACGACGATGTACGCATTATCTGGTCTTTTGCCTCGGATCTTATGGTGGATCGAGATTTTACCATCGTAGATATGCCGGGGAATTAGCTTTTTTTTCAATGTTCGTCATCCCAATCCAGTTTGAGCTCCCAAAGATGTTGCATGAAGATTTTTGCCTTTACTACCACCGGTGCAAAGAGTCCTAGTGGTTCAAAGATTTGGGCCAGTTCGGAACATACCACCCGTTTGATGATGCGTGTAGCCTGGCTTTTCTGTGTTCGTCCACACAATGTATCCTTCTTCGGCATCCAGATGAGACCCAGAGTTTTCACGCTGTAGTGATCTAGTGTCTCTCCTAATTTTACATCGGTTACAATATCCTCTTTGGGGATTCCTTGGAGAAGTTGCTCATTGTTGGAGCACCACTTGCGCAATTTAAATCCGGACGGTAGCAATATCTTATTTAGTTCTTGTCGAACATGAATTGCCTCTGGAATCGTGTTTGCTCCAGTTAGACAGTCGTCAACATAGAAATCGGTTTTTAATGTTGTTGATCCGACTGGTAGTCTGTCTTTGTATTGTATTGCCAAATGATCCAGACATTTCGTTGCTAGGAACGGAGCAGCTGTTGTCCCATATGTTACTGTTTTCAGGCCGTAGTACCTGATCTCTTCGGATGGATTGTTTCTCCAGACTATCATCTGATGGAATTGATCCTCCGGATTCATCCACACTTGCCGGTACATCTTTTCTATGTCCGCTGTGAATACGTACTTATGAATTCGAAATCGTAGCAGAATGGACATAAGTTCGCTCTGAACGGTGGGTCCAGCCTGCAGAATGTCGTTCAAAGATTTCCCGCTTGTTGATTTGCATGAGGCATCGAATACTACCCGAAGCTTTGTGGTGGTGCTCTCAGGTTTGAGTACACAATGATGTGGAATGAAGTATTGCCTTTTGGGAACTTTTGATGCTGGCACAATCTTCATATGTCCTAGTCCTTCATACTCTTCCATGAAGTCCAAATAACTCTTCCAAGTTTCTGTTGAGCTTCGCCGCTCCAACGCTAGGAATCTTTTTGTTGCGGTTTCCAACGACTCCCCCAGGGCTGAAGGGTGTTCGGAAAATGGGAGCTTTAGAATAAAACGGCCGTCTGAAGCTGTCTGAAGATTTTCTATAAAATGAGCTTCGCATCGTGCTTCCACTGGAGTGCGTGGTTTGTCTTCCGTCTCTAGATTGTCCAGAGTCCAGAATCTTTCCATGAGCTCGTTTACTCCCGTTGCACAAATGGGTGAGGAATTGTGACTTGTCCTGCCACAATCCATCCCAGTTTCGTGTTTTGTAGCAACGGGCCTCCTGTCCTTAGCTGCTGTTGATCTGGTAGCAGCAGCGAGTAATAATGCTCGGCTCCGATTAGCATGTCGATTTTGCCTGGCTTATGGAAATTTGGATCTGCCAGTGAGATCCTGCTTAAGCTCTCTGAATCGAGTGCCAGAGCTGGTTGGTCAGCTATTATCTGTGGTAATACGAAAGCTTCAATTCTTTGCGTAAAACCATTGTGAAGGGATTTCATGAGCACATTTACTCGTGCTCTGCTGGTCTTTGATTGACCTCCAATTCCTTCGATCCGCAATGTTGTGTCTTTTAGTTTGAGTGACAACATTGATGCCATTCGTTCAGAGATCAAGTTTATCTGTGATCCTGAATCTAGCAGTGCTCTGAAATTAGCAACCTGCCCGTTGTTGGCTTCTACTGCCACCTTTGCTGTGGCCAGAAGATTGTAACTATTGTTACTAGCTGCACCAACCGTCGGGCCTCTTGATTCTGTAGCTGCGCCTGATGCTGTTTCCAAATGTAGCATCGTGTTGTGCTTCTTGTCACACTTGAAGCAGTTTCGACCAGGGCATGCGTTTGTTTTGTGATTTGTTCTAAAACAATTAACGCACATTTTTTGTTTTTGTACCCAATTTAGTCGTTCTGATGGAGATTTGGAGCGAAATTCTTCGCATCCGTAGAGCCAATGGCTTGCTTTTTTGCAGAATGTGCATAAGGGTGCTCGCGTTCTCCCTGTGTTTGCTGATACACATGTCGTGCCTTTTGGCTCTCTCCTTGATGCTGGTGGCTTCTTACTGGTTCCTAGAACCCGAATTCTTTGCTCCAAGAACTGAAGCATCGTATCCAGCGCCTGAATGTTCTTTGAGCTTCCCAATGATTGCTTATTTGGGCCTTATTTGTTACATCCAGTTTTTTTCTGATAATGGCAATCAATATCGGATCCCATGTAGATATATTGATGCCCAATCCCTTTAATGATGCAAGGGATTCTATGGTTGTTATATACAACTCTTTTAATGACTTGGGATCGTCATTAATTGTTTGGTGATTGAGGAAGCGGTTCAGTACCGTGTTCGAAACATCTCTGGGATTGTTGTATGCGTCAACTAGTATTTCCCAAGCGGCTTCATAATTTTCTTCCTTTATCAATCTTCCGAATCAATCTTTCTGCCTCGCCGGTAACGGTGGTTTTAAGATACTACATCTTTTTCACCGTAGGCATGTTGGTCTCATGCACCATGCATGAGAATAAATCCCCATCAAACTTTGGGATGCTGATGCGTGGAAGATGCACGTTATCCGTGTTTGGTGTGGCTGATTTTGCCAATGCTCTTTGGACCTTACTTTCCAGTGTTAGGTAAGATTACATGTCATATCCTCCTTCCACTGGGTCCTCATATTCCCCATGAATTGTGAAGTGGACTTCCTGTGCTTGAGTCCATAGTAATTTTATCAAATCATTTGATGTGCGTCCTTCCGCCCCTGAAAGTTGTTCCAGATTGCGTTTAACGGACTCTACTATGGCCTTTTGTCGGCGACATAGTGAAAGCAGTTTGCTGTAATCCTTCGAGGGCTGCTGGATCAGACCGCTTTCTTTGGGATCTACTGGAGGATTCTCATGCTTTTCTTTAAAGACGATTTGACGTTCCCCACGAGCACTAGACGTCTGTGATAGCTTATCCATGCATTCGGTAAAGATCGTAATGTGTTGCTTACATGATGTACGTAAGTCTTCACGGAATTTTACGTATTCATCCGTTTTGTCTGTATCGCGAAGTTTGGAGTCGTTTTTGTTGAAGCGATTCCACGCATTTTCGAGTGCTGATATTTTGGCTTGAAAATAAGAGGCCGTTTGCTTTCGTTCTTGGGAATCTTTTTTAAAGTTCCGAATGCACCTCGATATTTCCTCACCAATCTCTTGCTGCGCATCCATTGCCATTGTAGCGGCAGCTTCTGCCTCCATATGTGTATCCATTCTATCTGTTTGTACTTATTACTTTTTGACCCTTGGGAGTGTTTTATTTGCTTTGCAGCTGGATACGCTCCGAATCGTAACCGTTGTTGGTCAGAAAGGTAATAGTACAGGTGATGTGTTGGATGGATAGATTTGTGCTGTTTCCAATTTATGGAACGCACGGAACAACAAAAATTGATTACCTTGGTGGTTATCGAATTCTATAGCTGTTTTTCTGTTGGCTGATAACCTGAATATGTCAGATTTGCCAAAGTGATACTTATTGGTAGGAGATGCTACCGTAAGTGTATGGCCTGATGCCAAATTTTTATTGAAGATGTCCTGTTGACTGCTTCAATCTGATGCCCAGATCGAATCCTTTCACTGTAGCTTGTTAGACTGTTTGAAAGGATGACCAAGGTCGGGGTCACCAAATGTTAATGTGTGTGTGTGTGTGTGTAGGAAGCTGGGTTGCATACGGTACATAAACCGTCTACAGTTTGGTCGTCGCAACTAGAACTTGAA